GCGCCAACACCCCGGGTTCTAGTCCCGGTCAGGGCGCTGGATTCTGTTCTGGTTGCTCCTCTTCCAGTCCAGTTCTCTGCTGTGGCCCAGGAAGGCAGTGGAGGATGGCCCAAGTGCTTGGATTGCACCTTCATGGGAGACCAGGAGAAGCACCTGGCTCCTGGCTTCGGATCAGCACAGCGCCGGCCGTGGCGACCATTTGGGAGGTGAACCAACAGAAGGAAGACCTTTCTCTCTGTCTCTCTCTCTCACTGTCTAACTCTGCCTGCCAAAAAAAAAAAAGTATTGAGTTGTACACATCAAATGGGTATATTGCATGGCATGCGATTTAAATACCAACAAAGCTGCTAAAAAGAAATCTGCTTTGAAAAAATACTCCATATTTCCCCCAAACTATTTTTCAACTCCATGTATATCATATATGAGTATATTACAGATATTTTAAAAATTGGAAGCAGACCCTATAAACAGGTAATCCGACTTTCCCTCCTAAATATGCATTAGGTGCCTACTTTGATCAAAGTACTGTGGTAGGATATTGTGGAAATTCAAAGATGAATCAGGCATGTCCATTCCTTTGAGAAGCTTACAATATGATCACTTCCATCCGTTGGATTTCGAGCTGCTGTGGGCTGCAAATGGTATCAATTATTTACTTCACCTGTCCAAATTAACATCACAAACTTCAGTGAGTTGAGAGCAGCAGCTGAAATAACGAAGAAGCTAGAAGAGTTCTGTAAGAAGTCAGACCGAAAAGATTTAAACTTTCAGGTCAGTAAAAGCAGATGTGTAGAAGAGCCAAGTTGGCTTGAACTGAAATATATGTTCCCAATCTAGGAATTCCCAACTCTGTTCCTCTGGAAGAATCCCTCTTCTGTTACATACAGTCAGCCTTCCCTATCCATGGGTTCCGAATCCTTGGATTCAACAAACCTAGACTGAAAATGTGGAGAAAAAAAATCACCTGTGTACTAAACATGTGCATTTACAGAGCACTCACGTTGTGTTAGGTATTGTGAGTTATCTAGAGATGATGTGACGTATGCAAGAGGATTGTGTAGGTGCTATGCAAATATTATGCCATGTTGTAGAAGGAACTTGGACATCTGCAGATTGGGTCTCCACAGTGATGGCGATGGGGCGTCCTGAGTGGATACAGAGGGATGACTGTACTCGTGAAGCCAGACTCTGGCACGGAGATGCAGGTCTTTAAAAATACTCGCCTGATTTTGATAGGCATTCAAGGCTGGAAATCACTGGCTTAGACCCTTGAACTAAAGTAGTTGGTTGCAAATCAGGAAAGTGACACATAATAAAGAGGAGGACAGGTAACTAAGGAATGCTTTGCTCATCCGAAAGTGTGTCTGGGAGGTTACACCAGGTCCCGTGTGACCTGTGATGCAAATAAAGTATGTAGATATAAACATCCTGTTTGTGACAAGAAACCACTAGAGGGACACAGGAGTTCCCAAGCCAAGAAATAGAGCATTGGGTTAGAATCCAAAAGGGGCCAATATCAGTGGCCCAAACAATGTGTGGAAGTCTGTCCAGAGGGAATTGAAGAGGAGGAAATAAGAGAAGCAGGAAGCTCAGGAATCAACTCCTTGAATGCTGAGTTTTGACTACCCATGACCCAATTCTTTGGTTGCAATCAAGGTGGACGTGTTGGTTCTATGACAGGGTTAGGCTTTCTGAAGACTAAAGGCTGTAACTAAGGCCAGTTAGAGACCACAGGGGATCCATCACTACCTTTTGGGCTTTGCATCACAAAAGGGCAACTGCAGGATTCCTTACAATAATCATGATTCTCCCTTCTTGCAAACAAAATATTGGGCTAAGCGGATTGCTTTCTGGTCTGGTGCATGGGTTCCATTGTTGTAATATCTTGCATTTATTTTCTATTTTTTCTTTTTTTAAGGCTTGATTTGTGTGCCCAAAATGAGAAGAAAATTATGACTAGAAGTCTTTGTCCACCATATGACACAGGCAGGGACAAAGATTTCTGTGTTTGCTCAAGGCTCTATGCCTAACAGGATGCATTGTAGACATCACAGTTTTTTGCAAAGCATTATTCCTTCAGTAGCAGTGGAACTGCATGCAGAATGTCAAACTCCATATGACTGGGGGCTTGGCACTGGAGTCGTAGTCTCGGCACTAGCAGCTATTTCCTGGTACAGGAACCTAGACAAACTGCTTTCCTGTTATGTTTCAACTGTACAACTCCACTATCTTCTCTCCCAGGGGATTCGGAGAAACAGACTAACTCAGCGGTGTGGAAACCCCACCCAGGCTTTTAGGACTGGTAGGCAGGACTTCCCATGCAGAGCGAGATCAGAGCATGCAGTGCAAGGGTCTGGGTAGGATCAAACCCCAGGGCTCTGGGGGGCTCTGGCATTCAGAATTTACTGGCATCTCTGAACTAACCCTGAGTTGCATATCTGAAGGGATCTGTGGCAAGAGCCATTTGCTATTTCATTTCCTCCTTTGATTCCATTTTAACATACATTTTTACCCACGTTCTGTTGGCTTGTAGAATTTAGCCCTGGTGCTTTGAATAAGTTAGGATGTTTGAGATCTAAAAACCCATGTGCTGAGAAAGAAAAGGAATCCTAGAATTTAAGTTCTATTCATGCAACCACAAGACAAAATTGTAGTTTCTGCAAAGTAAAATGGGGTTTTGGTGGGTTTTAATTTTGATTCTGATAGAATGAATTGATTCTTGAATTTAAAGTTAAGAAATGGGTAAGATTTTGATATGAGGGGTACTGGCTTGGTGTTACATGTTCTCATATCTCTTTATCTGACTACTGATCAAATTCTTGAGTTGGAAAAATGGAGCTGCTGTTAAGAGTTGGAATCGTCTCAATTTTGTTTTTACTTTTATGTGTTGACACTGTTTGATTGAAGCCATTGCACATTCAGTTTATTTTCTTGAGGTTTGTTATAGAAGCAACCAAAGCTCTGCAGATCTGTAAATAAATTATATACAACTGTACATAACCTGGGTTACATTCTTGGGTGAATCATATCAACATTGGCAGAATGTTTAAATAAACATGCTAGAGAAGGTTATACAGAGGTTAAACAGTTTCTTCTCCCTTCATACCAAGTTTCTCAGGCATTTTGAAGTCGCCCTTAAAATTTCCATTTGATTCAACAAAAATTTTAAGAACAAAAAAATTCATGATCGATCTTAGTAAATACTATTAGTATTTCTTAATATTAAAAATATTAATCTTTCATTAATCATTCACTTAATCTGAACAGATCCTTAAAAAATAAAAACACTGCTCCTAACGTGTCATGATATAAAAATTGCAGATATTTCTCTGTGTAACATCAACAAGATTTTCAATTTTTAACAAAGTTCATAGGTAGAGCTTATGAGGAGAAAGGAGATATAAATATATGAGCTAGATCATGGGATTTCCTTTGTATTGTTGGGGAAGTCCAGCACCTCAAACTTCTTTCTAGAATAGCTCTTATTCATTTGAGCACAGAGGATGATAGATGACGAAGGTTGATCCAATCACTCTCTCCTCTACGCTTGGCTTCAGTGATTGGTGCAGAACAGACATGTGGACCAAGCTGGACCAGTTTTAGTCCTCTTTTCAGCTAGAGGCCAGAAATAATTATTTTTCTTCCTTGAATGTGAGTCCTTTGCCACAGGCCACCATGTTCCCCTTTGATGGAAAAGGTCCTTTTGCAGTATGAGATATTTAGGGCAACAGGCAAAGAAACTCAGAGGGTCACAGAGATGGATACAGCCAAGGGGGAACCGTACAAAGCTAAGGGCACCGGAGGTACCGAGATCTAAATCATTGCCTGGCAGCAGGGCTAATTAGGGCAGGAAAGTACATTGCACTTGTAAGGAGGATGCTCTTGAAGAAGTACATCTGTTACAACATCCGGAGCACCCTTGGTACAGGGACACCTTCTTCACTCCTATTGCTTCTTTATGGAGGGGGATCCCTATTGTTATGTTCTGGTCTCTCTTTTCCCCCCTATTTCTCCCCACGGCAAATGGAAAGCCTGACTTAATAGCTAAGTGTGGAAGAGGAAGTGTGCACACTCCGTGAATCTCTTCCCTCTTTCCTGTCTTCAGGGATGTGCCTGGGGACAAAGGGCCTGTGTTCTGGTCTGGCTAATGACAAACATGCAGAAGAACTTAGAGGAAGGGGAAAACAAGGTGGGTTCATGGATAGATAGGAAAGAAGGAGGCATAATTATAGCATAAGCCTAGAATAGTAGGATGTTGATGGGTTAAGTAATGGGAATGTGGGTGTTAATTTTAATATTCTTTAAATGCTGCCATATTGTTGACAATTTTCATAGGAAAAAGTTGGAAAAACTGAAAATGCATTGTGATAGTGTAGCTTGACATAGATGTTTGATATAAGCTGAACATTAGACAGAGATTACATTCCTTAAAAAGAGCCTGGTATCAGGTATTGAGTTTTGTAGCTCACATTAGTGTTACCACCAAGCGTAAGTCTAGCTGTACGGTTTCAGAAAGTCACGAAACAGGTCATACCACGGATTGTCTACAAGCAGCAAGTCTTCCTCACTTGTGAAAGTGAATTGTGGAATGCTCCTCTCTTTTCCAGAAAGCCAAGTGGTGAAAATTGGATATTTGCAGTTGAGGAGAGGCGGTGGTGGGTGGGGTGCGAGAAAGACATCTTGCAGCTTGGTTGAAATTATGCTAGTGCTCGCTTCGGCAGCACACATACTAACAACTGGAACAAGATTATGCTTACAGAATGCTTGACATGTTGCCTGAACAAGTTCTGAATAGAAATTATAATCACAATTAGCTTCTTAGCTAAAAGGGAAATCATAGATCATAGTGTTTTATCAGGTTGAATTCTATTTACCGTTACGATATGTCCAAGTCCTATCCCTTAGAACCCGTGACCTTAGTTGGAAATAGGTTCTTTGTGGATGTCACTGAGCTAAAGAACTCAAGAAGAGAGCATTCTGGAATGAGGGTGGGTCCTAAATCCACCTGCTGGTGTCCTTAGAGGAGAAAGGAGTCACACCGAAAGGTAGGGTAAGGAAGCCACATGAAGATGCAGGCGCGGGCAGGAGTTATTGCTCCAAGTCCAGGAGAACCTGGAGTCTTGGTAGCTGACGGAGGCCAGAAGACTCTCAGGAGAGTGTGGTCCTCTTGATACCCTGATGTGGGGCTTCTGGCCTCTAGAACTGTGCGAGCACAAATTTGCATTGTTTTCAGCCTCCAAGTTGTGCTCATTTGTTACAGCAGTCTTAGGAAATGAACGTGATGTCAAACCAACAGGAAGCATGTGACCAGGTACTGAATGGGGTTTTCTAGTTGTTTGTTTACAGTGGAATGACTCAGATCAGAATAGGAGTGTCTGGCAGAGACATCACAATCAGCTGGAGAATGTTTCAAGCCTTAAGTCTCTCTGTTCCAGGGATGGCAGCACCGGCGATAGAGCCTGTCCTGCTTTGGGAATTGCTATCTTGTTGTGCACCTGAGTTTTTGGTGCTTGGGGCCTTCAGCCTGGTTGGATCCTGGTGGGAGAATCTATGCTGTAGATAACAATTGTGTTACGATGGATGGAGAGTAGATAAGAATCACGTTTAAGAAATGCCACTTCTGAGGCCAGCGCTGTGGTGTAGCAGACAAAGCCGCTGCCTGCAGTGCTGGCATCCCATATGGGCTCCTGTTCGAGTCCTGGCTTCTCCACTCCCGATCCAGCTCTCTGCTATGGCCTGGGAAAGCAGTAGAAGATGGTCCAAGTCCTTGGGCCCCTGCACCCGTGTGGGAGACCTGGAAGAAGCTTTTGGCTCCTGGCTTCAGATTGACGCAGCTCCAGCTGTTGTGGCCATTAGGGGAGTGAACTAGTGGACGGAAGACCTTTCTCTGTCTTTCTCTCTCTCTGTCTGTAACTCTACCTCTCAAAATAAATAAAACAAATATTAAAAAAAATCAACAAACAATAAGTGCTGGCAAGGATGTAGGGGAAAAGGTACCCTAATCCACTGTTGATGAGAATATAAACTAGTACAGCTGTTGTGGAAGACAGTATGGAGATACCTCAGAAAGCTGAAAATAGGTATCCCATATGACCCAGCCATCCCACTCCTGGAAATTTACCCAAAGGAAATGAAATCAGCATATAAAAGTTATTTGTACCCCTATTTATTGCACCTCAATTCACAATAGCTAAGATATGGAATCAACCCAGATGTCCATCAACTGATGACTGGATAAAGAAAGTATGGTATATATACACTACGGAATACTACTCATCCATAAAAAGAATGAAATACTGTCTTTTGCAACAAAATGGATGTACCTGGAAGCCACTATATTTAGTGAAACAAGCCAGTCCCCAAAAGGCAAATACCATATGTTTCCCCTGATTTGTAGTAACTGATAGATTACCAAGCAAGTAATGTTTAGGAGTGAATTGACGTTTTGAGCTTTGATGATTGTTTACAGCCCTTTTTGTCTTTCCTACTGAGGAATAGCGTTTTTTTCTATATACCATTTGTTGAACTCTTAGTGTAGGGTTAATCTTAAAGTAGATAGTAAACTAAAAGTAAATCATTATAAAAATTAAGAGCGGGAATAAGAGAGGAAGGAGGAGGGAGGGTGGGAGCATGGGAGGGAGGCTCGGGGGGGAGTTATCTATGTTTCTAAACCTGTATATATGAAATACATGAAATTTGTTCACCTTAAATAATAAAAAAGAGGTGGGCCTTGTGGGAAGTTGTTAGGTTTTGCTGGAGGCACTGTCCTTGGAAGAGACAGAGGGGGCTCTCGTGGGACCCTGACCTAGTTCTCTTGAGAGTGAGTTATGAAGCAGTAAACTTGACCCCTGAGTTGTGCTCTGGCTTCCTGCCTGCATTATCTCCTGCCACTGAGATCCATCCACCTTGGGCTGTCACTCGGGCTGAGCTGGTGCTGGCACCATGCCTTGTACCACCAGACCTTATGAATTAACCCCTTTTCTTTATAGAGTCACCCGCCTCAGGGATTTTGCTATAGTAACTTAAAAAAAAAAAGTGAACTAATACAATGCTATATATAGTAATTGCATGTTTGTGGGCAACATAAGCAACAAAACTAATAAAACAATTCTCAATGAAATTCTATACTGAGTTAAAGACTCTTTCATAAACTTGTGTTTTCATTCTGAACATACGAGAATACTTCAAAATTTCCGTGGAAAGATGGAATTAAAAAATAAATTTATTTTGGTGCAAAAAAATTGAAAGGCATGCATACTTTCTTCATATTACACATTTTCCATGAACATTTTAAAAACTCCTCATATGCATGAGCTTCAAAAAATTTTCACACCAGAATAAACTTACCCTTTAATTCTCTTTTCCACAAACTTTTTGAAGTGCCCTCGTATTCTGAAACCAATTTAGAAACATAAAAATGGACAGCTTACACTCTTGGAAAATACAGTTAAATAGACATGAGGATAAAGAAGCAATAGTGGCTTCATACTCAGGGGCTAGAATCAGAGAGAACTGGGGAAAGCTGGAGTTCATTACGTTCTAGTTGTATGACTTTGGATAATGTATTGATTCTCCTAACCTTAGTTTTTTCATTTATAGGATGGGAAGGATTGTGATGATGTAATAGTTACCTGCCATACAGGAAGCAAACAAATACAGGTGATGGTTATTAATACATATTATTAGGTGGAGAGCAGGAAGGCCAACGTGGTTGTAATCTACTTTGCTGATTCTTCATGGAAAGCACTGCAAATTACTTAAATAATTTATGGTACAGAATTGATGCTAGAGAAGCAAACAAAGGTGATTAAGATCTATTTGCTACTCAGTATTAGTTGAGCTAGCACTTGTTTGAATATTAGAGTTTCTGGATGACTTTTTAGGAAGTGAGCGCCACAGGACTTTAAAGGAATTATAACTATAAATGCAGCAGAGACACAAATGGGTAAGGAGTGACAAGGATTGTGGCACATGTGAGACCCACACTCCATCTCCTGGGAAAGCTGCTGTGGGGCAGTGGCTTCAACAGTGCAGGAATGCAAAGTCAACTCTGCAGGAATGCATAGCCAATTCTCTCTTCCAAGTTTTCAAGAGAAGGCAGAAATGTAGAAGACTTTTTTTTTTTTTTCACAAAGTGTCCAGAAGTTGGCAATGAATTCAAGCATTGTTTTAAAACACTGTCCAGGCCACAACACCTTGTCTGCAGGCTAGAGCTGACCATGGGTCACCAGCCTGGGTGGCGCTGGAATGGAGACATCATTAACACATTCAAGAAGCACCAAGATATGTGGTCAACTTGAGAGCTGAAACGATGATAGAACATTGCAGAAAGTTTGTCGAATGTGGTCCAAATTATTTTAATATCCCATATAGTCTATTTTCATGAACTATCAGTTAATGTTTGGAAAGAGCTCACCTAGCATATTTTAATTCCATTGTCCTTCAACTCATTCTGTATTCAGTTCCTCTGAGTCTGTTTTCAACCTTGGCCTCCCGAGGACACAGCCTGAGAAGTTTCTAAGTCAGCTCCGTGCTCCTCACCATCCTTTGCATGGCATCAGCTGGAGAGAGCCCTGTAGCTCAGCAGGCAGATGGCAGTAAGAAATTAACTTGAACTTCAGCAAGGCTGAGGTTTCCCTGGCAACAGAGGAAGCAGCCATCCTGCCTGGTTTGAACTGCATAGGAAACAGGCTCCCTTGTCAGCATAGCTCACACGCATTTCATTTTTCCCTCGTCAAGTGCTTTAACTTCAGTTAATAGCAGGACAATACGCGATACGTGCTTAAACAGGTTAATGTGTCTGTGACTGTCAGATACAGAAGAGAAGGCGTAAACCTCTCTGCTAAAAGCTGAAAATCATTAGTAAGCTTTAGTAGTCTCCATCACAAAATCCGTTTTCTTTACGAGGTAAACTTGACATGCAGAAAAATCATTTTAATTTTCTGGGCCATTAAGAATGCCTGGTCTTTTGACATTTAAATAAAGTCAAATTTTCCATCAAGGTGGGTTTCTTTTAGGAATAAGATAGGCCATGAAAGGTTTTTGGTCTGAATTTCCAGGCCGTGGATTGATCCGTGAGGAATAAGCCACCCTGAAGAGCACCATAGCCTTCCAAATTAATGAGTGCAGAGAGTTGATCTCACTTGAGACTGGCTCTCATTCAGACACAGATTAAGGAAGAAGCTAAGGAAGCTTAAGCTTCCTGTTCCCACATTGGAATTGGCCTCTTCTGGCCCCTGGCTGGGCGGAAGGGGGTGTGGGTATGGAATCTTTCAGAATGTCCACATGGCCATATATTATTATAACATTTATAAAATGTGTACTTTAAAATATAGTTCTAAATTTTTAAATTAAATTCTTTGTAGTATGGTGGCGGGGCAGGGGAGTGGAAGAGAAACAGAGAGAGCTCCCCTTTGCTAATTCATTCTCCAAATTCCTGCAGTGGCCAGGCATGGACTGGCCCCAAACTGGGAATTGGAAACTCAATCCTGGTCTCCCAATCACTTGAGTCAATACCTATGCCTCCCAGGGTTTCCATTAGCAGGGAGCTGGATTCAGGAGGTGGAACCAGGGGACCCTCAGTTGTGGGAAGTGGGCATCCTTCCCAGTGTATTACTCATTGGATGATATGTCTGCTTCTAGCATTTACCAACCTCCAGACCCTGCTTCCAGCTTCCTCCTAAGGTAGATCCTGGGAGGCAGTGATGAGAGCTCAAGCAGTTGGATCCCTGCTGTCCACAAGGGAGATACCAATTGAGTTCCCAGCGCCTGGCTCTGACTCTGGTTCTGCCTTGTCCTAGCAGTTGTGGGTGTTTGGGAAGGGAAGCAGCAGATAAGAGTTCTCTGTCCTTCTACATGACTCTCTGCTTCTCAAATAAATAAAGACTTTTTTAAGAAATGGCAGTTCTAGGGCAGGCATTGTGGTGCAGCAGGTTAAGCCACCTCTTGGCATCCTTACATCCCATATCAGAAGGCTTATTTAAATCCTGGCTATTCTGCTTCCTGTCCAACTTCCTGCCAATGCATCCTGGGTGGCAGTAGGCGGTGGCTCAAGTGCTTGGTCCTCTGCCACCCATATGAGAGATCCAGATGGAGTTCCACGCTTCTGGCTCCAGGCTGGACCGGCCAGGCACTGGGGGAATGAACCAGCGGATAGAAGATCTCTCTGTCACTCTCTCTGTTGCTCTGCCTTTCAAGTAGATGAAATGAATCAACATTAAAAAAGGAAGTTCTTGCTAATCAAGAACACTCTTGATAATGCAACATATATAATTATAAACATATATTTCATTTTATAGGAATTGTGTAATATAGAATTTATAAAAATTCCTATGGTTAATTTCTAGATGAAAGTATTTTGAATGTTTTTACTGCAAAGAAATGATAAATGTCTGAGGCCACAGATATGTGTATCCTGATTTGACTCTTGTACAGTGTATACTTGTTTCAAAACATTTCATGGTGCCCTATAAATATGCATAATTTCGCACCAATTAAAGCATGATGAGAATAATTTTTAAACTAAAAATTCACTGAAAATGGAAAGATAAAAATGTTCCTGCTGAATTAAAATGACAAGCTAATAAAGATGAAGGAAGCATGAAATTTGATACCCAGCCATCACAAGACCACTGCTGACACACTGGTTAAATGAGAAATGTCTATTCAAAGAGCTTAAGGATGAATCACTGCTATAGTGCCTGAAACACAGGAAACTTGAAAAGCTGGTACAAATTTTATAGCTCTTATGAAAGAGCTTATGCTACAAGTTTTCCCAAATTGGACAACAACCTTGCAAATTTGTATCACATTATCAATAACTGCTGTCTGACAGTTTGTATGCTCTCTAAATTCCCCTGTTAATGACTGACTCTCAAGATGGCTGGGTTCAGGGGTAGGACCTTTGGGAGGTGAGGGGCCATGAGGGCTCTGCCCTTGTGTGTGGGATCAGTGCCCTTATAAAAGAAACCTGTGGCATCTCGTTCACCCCTTCTGCCATGTGAGCACACATCGAGACACCACCTCTTGGGAGCAGGTCTACACTAGACATTGAACCTGCTGATGCCTTAAGGTGGGATTTCCCAGCTTCCCGGACTGCAAGCAATAATACATTTCTGCGTTTAAGATATTCTGTTGTACATGCCCGAATGGAATTAGACAACGATAAACTGTGAAGGTAAAAGAAACTTTTTGAACCATCAGTAACAGCAACAACAACAACAACAACAACAACAAAATCAAGATTTTTTTCGGGACCAGCGTTGTGATGCAGCAAGTTAAACTTTCACTTAATGCTGGTATCCCATATTTCAGTGCCTGTTCCGAGTCACAGCTGCTGTGCTTCTGATCCAGCTTCCTGCTAATGTGCCTGGGAAAACAGTGGAAGACGGTCCAAGTGCTTGGGCTTCTGCCATCCACCTGGGAAATCTGGATGGAGTTCCTTGCTCCTGGCTTCAATCTGGACCCATCCTAGCTGTTGTGACCATTTGGGATCTCTTTTTCTTCTCTCTCTTCCTACCCTGTTACTCTGCCTTTCAAATAAATAAAAAATAAATCTTAAAAAAAAAAACCCACAAAATTGGGGCCAGTGCTGTGGCGCAGCAGGTTAATGTCCTGGCCTGAAGCGCTGGCATCCCATATGGGCGCCAGTTCAAGAACCGGCTGCTCCACTTCCCATCCAGCTCTCTGCAGTGGCCTGGGATAGCAGTAGAAGATGGCCCAAGTCCTTGCATCCCTGCACCTGCGTGGGACACCCAGAAGAAGCTGGTTCCTGGCTTCGGATTGGCACAGCTCCAGCCGTTGAGGCCAACTGGGGAGTGAACCATCGGATGGAAGATCTCTCTCTCTCTCTCTGTCTCTCCCTCCCTCTTTTCTCTCTGTGTAACTCTGACTTTCAAATAAATAAATAAATAAATCTTTAAAAAAAATCACAAAATTTTAATAGTACCAAGGGCCGGCAACTCTTAATATTATTAGTGACAAAAAAATCCTCTTGTCTTTTAAAATCTCTTGTTGGTCTAAATTCAAAATAATCACACATATTACTTTTGAATTTTCACAGCACATAATGGTGTAAGGTTTAGTCATTTAGAAGAGCTCTTTATATTTTAATAAGCGTTGTATTCCACATAGGAGTTTGGTTGACCAACTCCCAGTTATATGAGTTGTATGGTTAACCTCAGGCACATGTTGACTCAGCTACATATTTAAAAAGTTTATTTACATGTATTTGAAAGGGAGAGAGAGAAAGGGAAAGAGATCTCCCACCCACTGCTTCATTCCTTAAATGCCCACAACAGCTGGCACTGGTCCAGAACAAAGCTGGAAGCCTGGAACTCAATCCAGATCTCCCAACTGGGTAGCAATGACTCAAGTACTTGAGCCGTCACCTGCACCCTCCTAGGGTGCACACTAGCAGGAAGCTGGAAACAGAAGTAAAGCCAGGACTTGAACCAAGGCATTCTGATATGGCATGTGGGTGTCCTAAGCAGTATAAGGTTTATTTATTTATTTGAAAGGCAGAGAGAGAGAAAGAGAGAGAGAGAGAGAGAGGAGGGAAAACAGAGAGAGAGAGAGAGAGAGAGAGAGAGAGAGATCAGTCTTCCATACACTGATTCACTACCCCAAATGGCTGCAAAGGTAGGGCTGTGCGAGACAGAAGCCAGAAGTCAGGAATTCCATCTGGGCCTCCCATATGGGTAACAGGGACTCAAGTATTTGAGCCATCACTTTCTATTTCCCAAGTGCAGTAGCAGGACGCTGGATTCGAGGGGGAGTAACTGGGATTTGAACTAGCACTCCCTGTGGGATGCAGGTATCCTATGTAGCAGCTTAGCCTGCTGTGCCACAATGCCCATCCCAAAAGCAGGTACCAAACACCTGCCCCAAACATGTTTTTTTTGAGAGTAATTTCTTTTTTTATGTCTCTCTTTTTAAAAATTATTTCTTTATTTGAAAGGCAGAGTTACAAAGAGAGACAGAGAATCTGCCATCTGCTGGTTCATTCCCCAAGTGAAATGGCTGCAGTGCGAGAGCTGGGCCAGTCTGAAGACAAGAGCCAGGAACATCTCAGATCTCCCACATGAGTGCAGGGGCGCATTAGCGGGGAGCTGGATTGGAAGTGGAGCAGCTGGGACTTGAACTGGTGCCCATACGGGATGCCCGCTTCACAGGCAGTAGATTTCTTCTCCATACCACAGTGCTGGCCTCCTTCATGTCTCTTTGTATTTGTACGTCCTGTATGCTCTGCCACAAATGCTTTTTGCAGCCCTGGACCACCAAACCTCTCTGCAACTTCCATAAACTAAAGTTTGCTTTTCTTTGCAATTTTCTTGTACCATCCCAATAATTAGGTGCCTTCTTTACTGTCCTCACAGCTCATCCTCCAGCTTCCAATGTTCACACATGTTGGAGAGCACGGTTAACACTGGTTCATGTCTGAGAGCGATTTCATAATGGCTCAAGAATCATTACAGTTTGCTTCAAACACAGGTTGTGTCTCTAATCCTGATGATAATACACATGGATCCTTGTGTTTTTGTCTTTTTTCTCCTATAATTTTTATTGTGATTTTTATTATTTAGTTTTATATTTTCCTTATATGAGTATATCAAAAAGGTTAACAATAAAAGTGATCATTGAAAAAAAGTTTAGGCTGGTGCTGTGGCTCACTAGGCTAATCCTCCGCCTTGCGGCACCGGTACACCAGGTTCTTGTCCCGGTCGGGGCGCTGGATTCTGTCCCGGTTGCTCCTCTTCCAGGCCAGCCCTCTACTGTGGCCCGGGAGTGCAGTGGAGGAAGGCCCAAGTGCTTGGGGCCTGCACCCGCATGGGAGACCACGAGAAGCACCTGGCTCCTGGCTTCAGATTGGCGCAGCGTGCTGGCTGTAGCGGCCATTTGGGAGGTGAACCAAGGGAAGGAAGACCTTTCTCTCTGTCTCTCTCTCTCACTGTCCACTCTGCTTGTCAAAAAAAAAAAAGTTTAAATTTACTTTGCTAAAGACAGAATGGAATAATCTGCTGACTTGTCCTGTGCAGCCGTGCTGCCAGGATGGTGGAGCCATGGCGTTCTTCGACAAAAAGCACCAGAGACAAGTTTCAGTGAATGCGTCCATTTCTTAACAATCAGACATCAACTTTTAAAGGGCAGGCAGGGGGGTGTAGCTAGTTCAGGGCAATACTAATTCTATAGGGTAAAGCTGATATTGGTGCGCCTGTGCTTCTATCAGTTTGAAGGTCCTACTTCCATTCTTGCTCTCATTCTTCCCATAACAGCAAAGTCAACTTTAAACACTCATTTATTTATTTTTCATTTTATTTGAAAGAGATAGAGAGAAAGAGAGATTAATCTGCCATAACACTCCCTAAATGCCCACAATAGGTGTGGCTGGACCAGGATGAAATCAGGAACCAGAACACAATCTTGGTCTTCAGTGGGTGCAGGGAACTAAGCACTTGAACCATCTATCACTTGTGGCCTCCCTAGGTGCACATTGGCAGGAAGCTGGATCAGGAGTGCAGGAGTAAGGAATCAGTCAGTCAGTTTTCTTAAGGCAGCATTTTGAGAATAAAATGCACAAATCCTAAGTGTTTAACTGACTGAATTTTTACCTATTTGTGTAACTGTATAACCACCACTCACAAAGATTCAAACCATTTCCATTACCAAAGAGGAAGCGAATTTAGAACCACTAATTTACTCAAGGTTATGAAGTGAATATATTCATAAATTGAGAATATTTTGTAAAGAAAAAGAAAAATCAAAGAACACGGGGAACACTTAGAGATAAAATTGTAATTACTAAAATTAAAAATTGAATACAAAGACTAGAAAATAAGGCTAGGAAGCTGCTCAGAATATTAAAAACAGACAAAAAGATGGAACTCATGAGACATGGAGGAAAACCAAGAGGACCAACTCCACCAATAAGAGCCCCAGAAGGCGGAAAATGGGAGGGAGGAAACTTTGAAAACAATGAGAATTTTAGACTTGAAGAATGACATGTGTGGATTTTAGGGGGCTGGCTACTCAGTGCCCAGAAAACTGACAGTTCAGAAGAGCTGTCAGTACACTTTCCCCTTGCATTTCTAATGAAATCTAAAAATTTTTGGAAACAAATGCAACTGAAACAAGGAATTAAAATATCGTGTTGTATGTTATTTGAATTTCAAAGGTCCATGGAAGTGAAATTAAAAGATAAATTTACTTTGGCACAGAAGAATTTTGAAACCCATGCATAGTTTCTTCATAGTTCATATTTCCCATGACCTTTCTGAAGACCCCTCATATATAAAAATATTTTTATATATTACAAATTGAGCATTGCTAATCCAAAAATCTGAAACCTGAAAAACTTCAAAATCCGTAACTCATTGAGTGTGTGCCACATGACACCAAAAGTGGGAATTTCCATGCAGTAAAACTTTGTTTCATGCACAAAGTCATTAAAAACAGTGTATATGATTACCATCAGGTGTATAGGAAACATAATTTCATGTTTGGATATGAGTCTTATCCCCAAGATATTTCAAATACATGCAGATATTCAGAAAACTAGAAGCATTTCTTTCTTAACATGATTATACAAAATGTTACAGTTTGGGAGTGTATTTGACCTTCTCTACAGATTAGCTGAAACTACTTGTTCCTGGTTACTTGTGGCCTTGTCCATCCAACCATCCATCCATCCAGCACTTACCTGATGCTAAGCCATGGGGGCGCTAATCTCAAAGAGAAGGAGTGACTCCTGCTCCACTTCTAACCACAGGACAGTACTAGCTGTGCTCATGGGGAGGTGAAAGAGCCATGTGCCTCAGTATTCCTCATTGTCGCAAAGCCATAGAACACACTAGCCTGAACTCACTGTGCTTTCTAATCTAGTCATTCATGTATCTCATTAGTTCTAAGAAATTCTAGTCATTGCCTTTCTTTTTTAAATTTTCTTTATTTTACTTAATTTTTAACAGATAAAATATGATTTGTAGGTACAAGTCTAAGAACATAATGATAGTCCCCTCCTCCCTCCCTTCTTCCTTTTGCCTTTCTTTCTTTTTTTAGTTTTTGAGAACATATTTTAAATTTACATTGCAATCAAAAGGCTTAATCCTTCATTGAATAAAAATTTTAACAAGTAAAAAGCAAAAAGACTCTAGTGGGAATATAGACAAAATCTATAAACAATTATTGAATGGAAAAATGACCATTTTACCCATATACTGATTTTTTTGGTCAATTATTCATAATTTCTTTCAATGAAATAGAACCAATGACAATGTACCATCTAAGCATTTCCTGTGTGGTTACAAAATAATAATTAAGTTCATTTAGACTTTAAGCCATTTCCTTTCAACAGTTTATGTACAGGAATAATTTTATGCAGATTGCAATACAAATAATTATACATTACATTTTCTGTACTCTATTAGTTTCCACAGATCATGGAAAACATAAGGTATTTGTCTTTTGGGGACTGCCTCATTTCACTAAGTGCAATGGTTACCAGTTGTATCCGTTTTGTTGTGAAAGACAGGATTTCATTCTTGTTTACTGCTGAGTAGTATCCCAGAGTGT